CCAGTCATACTAAAAACAGTTTGTGTTAATCACTCTCATAGATATCTGTGAGACTGTTTCAGCTAAGATAGGGAAAAACAAAATAACAGGTGGCGGGCCACGTCAAGGGGTCATCCTACCCCCCTTGACCACCCAGTTCCTGGAATCTTGGTGCCCCTGCCAAACTTTGAAGCAAATTGTGGTCTCGTGTAAACGTACCAATCAGCCCCCTGTAACCATGCCCTCTCGTTTCTGTACCAGTGCTTCTGCCTCTAAAACCCTATAAAAACCCCAGCTTCCCATCTAGGGGGCGCAGAAGTCTTCCGAATGACTTTTCGCCCCGGGTACCCGAGTATCAAAATAAAAGCCTCTTGCTGTTTGCATCCGAATGGCCTCGTTGATCCTTGGGAGGGGGTCTCTCTGACGGAAGATACCCTCCGGGGATCTTTCAAGTATAGACCATGTATGTCTTTCTGCTTCTGGGTTATCTCACTTAGGATGATCTTTTCTAGTTCCATCCATTTCCCTGCAAATTTCATGATTTCCTTGTTTTTAATTGCTGACTAGTATTGCATTTTGTAAATGTACCACAATTTCTGTAACTATTCTTTCGTTGAGGTGCCTCTAGGTTGTTTCCAGATTCTGACTATTAAGAATAACCCTGATAAGAACATAGTTGAGCAAATGTCCTTGTTGTATGGTTCAGCATCTTTTGGATATATGCCCAGGAGGAGCATAGTTGGATTTTGAGGTAGCACTATTCCTAGTTTTGAGAAAGCACCAGATTGATTTCCAAAGTCTATAGTCCTAAAGAAGCTAAACAATAAGGAAGGACCCTATGGAAGAGGCTGAAACCTCACTCAGAAGGACAAACAGGATAGACATTGGAAGTATGAGAAGACAGGGAACATGACAGTAACCTTCCATAGGGGGCCTCTGAAAGGCTCTACCCACCAGGGTATCAAAGAAGAGACTGAGACTCATAGCCAAGCTTTGGGCAGAGTGCTGGAAACCTTATGCAAGAAGAGGTAGATAGAAAGACATGGAGGGGACTGGGACTCCACAAGGAGAACAACAGAGCCAAAAATACCTGGACCCAGGGAGACCTGCAGAGACTGATACTCCAACCAAGGACCATGCATGGAGAGGACCTAGACACCCCTGTTCAGAGGAATCCCATAGCCTGCTCAGTCTCCAAGTGGGCTCCCTAATAAAGGGTACAGGGGCTGTCTCTGACATGAACTCAGTGGCTGGCTGTTTGATCACCTCTCCCTGGGGTGTGCAGCCTTGCCAGGCCACAGAGGAAGATAAAGCAGCCAGCCTTGATGAGACCTGATAGTCTAGGGTCAGATAGAAGGGGAGGAGGACCTCCCCTATCAATGGACTAGGGAAGGGGCATAGGGGAAGAAGAAGGAGAGAGGGTAGGATTGGGAAGAGACAGAGGAGGGAGCTATAGTCAGGATACAAAGTGAATAAATTGTAATAATTAATTAATTATTTTTTAAAAAAGAACACAGGACTTTTGAGAAATAATAAAACTACGCTTTAACCTGGTGTGCACATGCCTTTATTCCCAGCAGGCAGGAAAAGGCAGGTGGGTTTCTGTGCATTGTAGGGCAACCTGGTATATATAGTGAGTTGCAGGATAGCCAGGGCTACGTAAAGAAACCCTGTCTCCAAACAAACAAACATACAAATAAAATAAATAAATAAATAAATAAATAAATAAATAAATAAATAAATAAATTAAAAAATGCCTTAAAATTTTTGGTCAATGGTACTGAATTGTAGACAGGAGAAAGAAGTCTGGTTTTCATAGTGCCTGGTGGGTGACCTTAGATAGCAACTGTGCACTGTATATACTAAAGAGACACACCAGGCATGATGATACACACCTTTAATCCCAACACTTGAGAGGCAGAAGCAAGTGGATCTCTATGAGTTCAAGGCCAGCCTGGTTTACAAAGCAAGTCCTGTGATGGCCAGGGCTATTACATAGAGAAACCCTGTGTTGAAAAACAAAACAAAAAAAACCAAAAACAAACGGTCTCAAGAAGGCTGGGCATGTAGCTCTTTTGGTAGTGAGCTTGCCTAACATACACGAGGCCTTGGGTTCAATCCTCAGCACCACATCAGCCTGGTTTGGTGTCACCTATCTGTAATCTCAGCATTTAGAAGGAAAAGGATCAGAAGTTTAAGGCCATCCTCAGGCACATAGCAAGTTCAAGCCATAAGTTCTTTCTCAAAAAAAAAAAGTTATGGCTGAGGATGCAGCTGTGGTAGAGCTACTAGCATGCATGATATCCGAGGTTCAATCCTCAATATCAGCAAAAAAAAAAAAAAAACAAACATAAATTCAACAACTATTGAGTTGTTGCACTGATAGTGTGTTAAGTGCCAGTGAAATTGTTTAGCAGGTAAAAGTGCTTGCTATCGGCCAGGTGGCTGTGGCACAAGCTTTTGATCCCAGCACTCAGGAGGCAGAGGCAGGTGGATCGCTGTGAGTTCCAGGCCAGCCTGCTCTACAGAGTGAGTTCCAGGACAATCAAGGCTACATAGAAAAACCTTGTCTCAAAAACAAACAAACAAACACACACACACACAAGGTTTCTCTGTGTAGCCTTCACTGTCCTGGAGCTGCTTTCCTAGAAGACCCAAGTTTTGTTCCTAGAATCCACATCAAGTGACTCACAACCAGCTCCATGGTATCAGATGCCTCTGGCATCCAAGGCCGTGTTCACTCATGTGCACATTACTCACATGCAGTCCCCCATACACACACACATAGACCCCACACACACATTCCCTTACATAATTTTAAATAATACAAAGAAATCTTGAGTTTTTGTTTTGTTTTAAAGGAGCTGGACATAGTAGCACATACCCATAATCTCAGCACTTCAGAGGTGGAGAGGCAGAATATCATCCGTGGTTACATAGTGAGTTTGAGGATAGGATAGGCTACATGAAATGCTGTCTAAACAAAAACAACATCAAAAAAAAAAAAAAGCCATACAGCGCATGCCTTTAATCCCAGCATTCAGGGAGGCAGAAGCAGGAGGATTACTGTGAGTTTGAGGCAGCCGGGGCTCCAGGACAGTCAAGGCTACACAGAGAAACCTTGTCTCAAAACAACAAGAAAACAAGCCCCCCCTAAACAAAACAAAAAATCAAACATACATCTATATTTGTTTTATATGTGCATATATATATATTTGTGAAAATGGTAAAGCTCACTGATACAGTACATGTTTGCAATCCATGAGGCCCTTGATTTCCAGCACCAAAGAAAATCTAGAAACTGACTTTGTATTGTCTTCTCTGCGACCATACTGCTTCCAAGACAGCATCATCCTCATATAGGTGAGTAATTATCACATGGATGACTAGTCATTATAGACAAGCAACTGGCCAAGAGATTGTCAGACACATACTCTATTGTTTCCAAAGTATGTTTTAGACACAACTATTGTGGGGTATCCACCAGAGAGGCCTGCTTGCAAATACAGAACATCTTTATTAGCTGGCTGGCAACTACACTGAATGTTCAGGATCCCAGTGTAGCCACAAGGTTTTCTCAGGAGGAACTTTTAAACATAAAAACCATGTCCTGGTTTGACATGCTTCAGTTAGCCAGGAGTGGAACTAAAGAAGCCAAAAACCAAAGTTAGTACATTTAGAAACGTTTTCAAAACTATGGGCTTTGTTTTCATTTATCTACGTGCTGTTTTACAGCCTGAATGGCACTTCCATTCAGTTGTGTTGTCAGTTGTACTAAGATTTGGAGGCTTCCTAAGGTCTAGGGCCATGTTACAACAGACAAAATGTTCATAAAATGATGTATGCAAATAAGATCATGTCATTCTTCTGCTCAAACTCTGTTGGTTCCTGTCTCCAAGGGAAAGTCAAAATACTTACAGTGGCCTTCAAAACCTCCCTAATGTACCCTTACTTATTACCTTTCTAAGCTCCTTGCCAACTATATCATCACCCCCAGCCCCCATATTCCTTACTGTGAACTGAAACTGTTCAAATTGGCCTCCTTGATGTCCTTCAGCTGTGCTAGGCACACTCCTACCACTAGCGGTTGCTTTGTCTCAGAATGTGCTTAACCAAAATCATAAGGACTTAACTTACTTTTTCACAAGCCCTGGTTCAAATGTCACCTTAAGCTTTCTCTGGCCATTTCCTCTATCACCTAATAACTTTTCTGATTTGTTTCAAGTTTATTCACCATTTAAATGTAATGTCCTCATCATTTATACTGATATCTTGTCTCTTTTACTAAATTGGGTGGGGTTTTCTGTTATTGTTGTTGTTTGCTTTGTTCTTGCTGTTTTCAAGACATGGTTTCTCTATGCAGCCTTTGCTGTCCTGGACTTGCTTGGTAGACCAGGCTGCCCTCTAACTCACAGCGATCCACCTGCCTCTGCCTCCCTGAGTGCTGGGATCATAGGCATGTGCTGCCCAAAGGAATTTCCTACAGTGATGGACATCTTTTATATCCTCACTAAGGAACAGTCGTTAGCCTATTAGAAATATGATTAAGAAAGTGAAGTCCATCTTTCCTCCAAGACCCGATGGAAAAAGCCCTGTGGTGGGCCTACCAGTGAGACAATGGAAATTTCTTGACCTTACACGACGTTCTTGTGCCAGCATTGCCACTCCTTTAAGGCCTAGAGACGTCACAGAGGACCGCCAGTCTGGGCCCCGTGGCTTCCGGGGGCTTTAGCACAACTGGCCAGACACTCTGGATCCTGCGCAGTGGAGGTGAGCCAGGCCGGCACGGTGTGGGCTTGGTGATTTTTTTGCTCTTGCAAGGCGAATTTCGGGAAGGAAACAGGGCAAGGCAATTTTTGGTAAGGAAACAGAGAAAACGGACTGGGACTGTGGAAGCAGGCCACTTAAGTTTTCTTTCAAGAGGAGACCTGGGTTTGCCAAGCCTCTTGAGACGTGGTGGGAGGTGCATGAGGAGGCTCATGTCCAGGAGTATGAGGTGAGCTGCTGTCAGGAGAGTGGCACTCATGGATCGCAAGTGCATCTGCAACCTTTGCTCCTGCGGCATGCATCGCTGCCCACACCTCCCTACCAAGATTTATGAGAAGACAGAGGAACCATGTTTTTTCTCCGAATACACCGAGAAGTATTCACCTTACCATTGTTTCGCGCCTCGAGAGTCCTTCAAACCGAAAGCGGAGTACCAGAAACATACTATACCCATGGAAGGTCTGACCACAACAAAGGCAGACTTCAAGGCCTACGACACAGAACTAGTACCCGCACTAGTGAAACACCAACATCACAAGTTCACTTCAAAGGAAGACAAAATGGATTTCCTCACAACCTATAATCAACACTACGACTTCTTCCCTGTCAGTCGAGTGAGCCCCATCAAACCTCGAGACAACAACCAGCCGTGTAGAGACAAAATGGATGGCGAGCCTACCTACAAAGCGCATTATTTACATTGGAACCAGCAGAAACGACCTTCGATTCGTCCATCGCCAACATACCTTCCTTCCTTGTGCAGGTTCGTTCATAGAACCACACACCAGGATGATTATCCCGTTAAACATGTTGTGGCTACCGTGAGTCCCAAACCTCCATCTGTGCTCAAGCTCTGCAACTGCCCCATGGAGAATACGACAAGCTACAGGTCGACTTATGTGTCCTATCCTGTGGCGAGGCGGTGTGTGTACGGGGGAGAGAAGTATAAACCAAGTGAGTTCCCTTTTGATGACCTTACCACCCACAGGGATTCCTACAAGGGTTTGAAGGGAGAGCCTGCCAAGATCTGGAAACCTACATCCAGGCACTTTGGGTTAGACATACCCTTGCTATTCAACACCGAATTTCGAGACAAATTTCAAGTGTGGCCAATATCCCAGAGAGTTCCCAAAGAGCCCGAACCCTACATCCCACCTGAAGGGGAGATGGATTTGATGACAATTGCACAAGCTGACTACCGGTGCCATTCTAGTGTTCCTGTCCAGCCCTGCCGCCCAGTTGACCATCTGAAGAAGGCTGACCGCTTTGAAGGCTCCACCATACATAGAGAAGATTACAAACCCTGCACCACCACCCGCAGAGAACTGATCAAACCCGCTCCACAGCTGAAATTATCGGATCAGCCTATGGATTGCCTGACCACCAACCGTGCCCACTACGTACCCTTTGTACCTGTCAATATGAAAAGCTGCAAGCCCCCGTGGTCTGGCCCTCCTAAAAACATCCCTCTAGAAGGTCAGACCACGTATTCTACTAGTTTTACTTCTAAGGGCATTCTAAGGTGCCCAGCTTCATACTTGGAACCCCCTGGCTACATCTTTGAAGAGGTGGATGCCGAAGGGCACAGAATGTACAGACCAGATTCTCAGCAGAGCAACCATCTTGGCTTTGATGACACAGAAATTCCTAAGCAGAGAGAACTGGCAGTCCCATGCTATCATTGAAAAATGGCTGTTTACAAATTGAAATTGCACAGTACATTGAAAGCAAACAACAACAAAAAAGAATTCTCCAAAATGAAAACAACATAAACAAAACCACAAAGTTCATTATAAATTTCAGGACATTTGAATGAAGTAAGAATCACCCAAGCAAAATGACATGGACTTACCAGCAGATTTACTTCTCTTAACCCTTCTTCTACTGTACCTTTCCAACCCCATCAATGTCCCTTGCTTTGGTCCTCATGAAATCAAAGCTAGTTTCAAGAACATATTTTTCTGACCTAGGTGCATTGTTATTAATTTGATCATTTGCCAATCCTGAAATGTCAATAACAAAAATCATATTGGGGAAAAAAGTAAAATGGTGTGCTCATTCATTTTTGGCTTTGAATTTTCCTTTAAAAAGTTTTGTAGTTACCTGGGAGGTGGTGGTGGCACATGCCTTTAATCCCAGTACTTGGGAGGCAGAAAGAGCCATATAACTGAGTTTGAAGCCAGTCTGGACTACAGTGTGAGTCCAAGAGAACCAAGAATACACAGAGAAATCTTGTTCTGAAAAGAAAAACCAAAAAGTTTTTTTTTTAGTGTTGTGAGTTATAACTAGACTCTTTTATATGCTAAAGAAATACCACTTAGTTACACCCTGTAACCCCTTTAATTTACTTTTTAGACTCAGCAGAGTTCTGGTACTTATCTATTGAAATCATCCAACTTCAATTTTATTTTAGTATCAGAAAGTGTTTTACTGTGAGAAATATGCTTGCCTTAGTTTCTAGGCAAACTGCAGAAGTATCACATTGATTTGGAATACTGACAATGTATACCTGTACTGAAAATAGAAAAAAATCTCCATAAAATATGCCCAAATGTAACCCCAAGCCCATTAGATTTAAGTAAATTAGCAAATCATAGATAATATATTGTATTCTATTTTTCCTAGTATATGAAAAATATAATCTTTTTTTTTTCCTCCCTTAGAGATGGTCTCATGTATCCTAGGCTGGCCTTGTCCTCATGATACAGCATGATGATTTTGAGCTTCTGTGTCTAACTCTAGGATGCTGAGTTTATGTGGTGCTGACGTTGGAACCCATGATTTCATGCATGTTAGTAGAGCACTCTAGTAATATCAGCTATTTTCTGGCCCCTTTCTTCAAATTTTCAACAGAATTGCGTATCATAAACCCTTACTCGGTGTTCCTTGGGAGAAATATTCTGCACATATAAAGATAAGGTTTTTTTAATATGAAAAAATCATTGAAATTCAAACTGGCACTCAATCTTTATGATGTGCCTCATTTTCACAACTATTCTAAAATCATATTTGTGAGACTCTTGGTTAACTATAATTTTTCTGGTGCCTGATGAAAATTTATTACCTGAAAATGACTTCCCAAAGAGCAGACTTTATGTAAATTGTGGACCCTCAAATCATAAAAATGAATTTCTTCCCAGAAAATAAACAAACATAATCTACCCGACAAAGTATATGGAGAGCCAACTAAGAATCCTTCCTCCAGGTACTTGTATTTTTACCATCTATGAAACCAATTTCCTTTACAAAGCAAAGAAATACAAATATTTCTGATACTACATTTTGCCATTATTGTTTTATATTTAGAGCTAAGGAGGCAGTACTGGAACAAGGAAAAACCTAAAAAAGTTAGTTAGAAAAACTTTCATTATTCTACAGTCTCACAAACATATTTCTTTTCCATCTACCTGTTCTTTGCTCAGTTGAGTTCTTTTTTTAAATGGTGCAGTACTGTTATATCATCGTACTTATATGATCTCTTTCTACTTTAAACGTTAAGAATAACTATTTCGTGAACATGGTAGAAGGAACGAACGCAGACAGGAACACCAGAGCAGCAGCTGACACAAAGGAAAACTGATTTTGCAAAGCAGTCTGTGGGGAGAGCAGAGTCTAGATTTCCTGGCTCCTCCTTCTTTGTGCCTGCCTACATTCCTGGGCCCCGCCCCTCCGCTTCGGCCCCGCCCCGGCCGGCCGCCATGTTGGTCCTTCTGCCCAAGTCTCTCTAGCTGTAGGAGCTCGAGCTGGTTACTGCTCTCGACGCTGCCGAATCTCTGGCCCTTTTTCTGCCCTGGTTGCACCCAGGCGGGCTGGCGAACAGCTCCCGGGGTGCCCTGTGTGTGGCTGCAAGGTGAGTGGGAGTTAGTATTCCGTTTGAGGCCGGGCCGGAGCGGGACAAGGGCGCGCACAGCAGGAGATGAGGGCCGCTGGGGCGAGGGGCGCGCCAAATTGGCGCGGATCTGTAGACTGCAGGGCAACCTGGGTGTCTTGTTCCCAAGTCTCCTGATGACTGACGTAGGAGGAAAGACGGGTTTGTACAGACACAGGGGAAGAGGGGCACACACCCAACGACTTGGGACATAATACACCCGCGGGCACGAAGACACATCAGAGAGGAAGAGAAATCCTTAAGAAACCCAGCGAAGGAGATATACCGCATATACTTAGCAATAGGTTGGTGGAGAGAGGCTCACACAGACAAATACGCAAACACCTGGTACAAACATAGACCAGTCTTTCCCCTAACCACACGGGTACATTTACACACCCAAGACCAGACCTTGCGCTGGAGTGACTAATACAGGGGATAGCAGGGACGCTCGTGTTATTTGAGTTTGGTGGCCTTTGACACCCTAGTCTTTGACCCATGCAGGTGAGGGAGCTGGGAACGTAAAGCCAGAGCAAAGACCATGTAGGCAGTTGGGAAGTTGGCTGAGGTTTCAGGGTTGCGTTCCTTTCTTCCATCTTAATAAGTGAAAAGACCAGATGAGACTTTTAAAGTACTGAACAAATGGTTGGTGAATGTTATTTATTTATTTTTTTTAAACTGATGACACATCCCATGATCATACTTCTTTTGAGGAATAACTTTTCTGCAAGTTTCAAAATTGGCACGTGACTAGTCTTTTCATAGTGTCCTCAGAAAATCAACAGACTGAATTTGTTTTTTGTTTGGTTTCGTTTGTGTAAGTTTTGTCTTTTTGTTTGCTAGCTCCATTGCAATGGAAAATCCCTACACTGCTTGAATCTCAACAAGAATTGAAGGAAACCCAGGCTTTTCAACTAAGGACTGTTTTGTTTCCCTTTTTCTTTTACTTTTTTTTCTTTCCTCCTTTCATTGCTGGAGACCAAACCCAGGGCCTTGTGCTTGCTAAGAAAGATCTCTATCTCTGTGGGAAATTCCCAGCTCTTCCCTCAGATAGGGGCTTTCACTTTGTCTTTTATAAGCTTAGTTTGACGTTATCACTACTTGCATAGAACTCCAAGGAACTTACAGAAGAGGGCCATATCTAATAGTGGCATGGTAGTTTTTTTTTTTTTTTTTTCCTTTTGGGGCTTTCATGTACATTGTAGTCTCTTGCTGTACTGAAACATTTTATGGTTGGAGGCATATTTATTTAGAACATTTGGGGGATTTAAGGCATATTTATTTAGAACATTTGGGGGATTTAAGGATATTTTTGTTTGATTTTTCTGGGCGATTAGAGTAGACAGCAAAGACTAGAAAGAAGTAAATAGTTTGGTGGTAGGTATTCTCTCTTTTCCAGCCTGATCCTTTACATTTTCACTATCCCACTACCATTTTATACTATAGTACTTGGGAGGCCTAAAGTTATCTTAGTTTTAGCAATATTTTTAACCTCAATTGTTTACCATTTTCGAAAAGTCCTCTGTGGTCACTTGAACTGGTTCTGTTCTGTTCTGTTCTGTTCTGTTCTGTTCTGTTCTGTTCTGTCAGAACTCTGTGTGCATCCTTTCATTTTCCTGGTAGTTACAAAGCAATGGCTCTATTTTACCAATGAGTTTGCCAGGACCTGGGAGGGTTAGATCTCTTTTCCAAGGTCTCCTAGGGAATGAGGGAGCAGCACTGATTTTCAAAGCGTGTTTGTGGGCTTTTTAGAGTAGTAGTTTTGCATAGAGGCAATTTTATTCTCCCAGGATATTTGGGAAAAAAACTGTTCGAGCATTTTTGATTCATACTCCAGGTCACACCAGTCTTCTGTAGTTCTTTAAGCACAATGTCATTTTACTATTTAGGATAGCATTTTTATATGTTAAAAGCTTGCTGGGGGAAAATTCTCTTTATTAAGTGATATATGAATACCTGGTAACAGAATCCATTTTTTGTTGTTGTTGTTTCATGTTTTTGTTTTTTTGGGTTTGTTCTTTTTCTTTGTACATCCTTGCTTGTGAAAATTCTCTTTGTTAAGTGATATATGAATACCTGGTAACAATCCTTTTTTTTGTTGTTGTTGTTGTTTCATGTTTTTGTTTTTTGGGTTTGTTCTTTTTCTTTGTACATCCTTGCTTGTCTAGGAGCTCACTCTGTAGACCAAGCTGACCTTGAACTCAGAGATCCAACTGCCTCTGCCTCCCAAGTGCTGGAGGTGTGTGTCACCACCACCTCCTGGCTAACTTTTTGTTTTAAGCCTACCTCAAGCTTACTGTTTTAGCAGATTAGCAGAGGCTGGCTTTGAACTCCTGATCCTACTGCCTCAGCCTTCTAAATGCTGGGATTACAGGATGCCACATACAGTTTCAGATTTTTTTTTTCTTTTTTAAGACAAAAGTTGCAAAAACTTAGTAGCTACTGGGAACCTTTGCAGTTGACTTTTGTTTTCATGATTCCATTCATCCAAAGATGTTCTCAACACCCGGTCAGATTCCAGTCAAAGGCACTGGCCGAAAGGCAGAGTAGTGGCAAAGTTTTGACCTTCCTGAAGCTTGCAATATAGTTGAAATCATAAAACCAGGTTCTGACATGGTCCTAGAACAGAATTTATTGCTTGGACTACTCAGGAACAGAAGTCAGGTGTCCATTAAGGAAACAACACATCCACACCCGCCATATAAATACATGTGTTTGGCATTTTTTTCTAGATACGCTTAGATGAAGTGGAGAACAGCTCCTGGGTTCTTTAAAGGTTTATAGTATAATTGAATTAGGCATGTGTGTGTATTTATTCATCTGTCTCTGTCTGTCTATTTTAGTTTTTCAAGACAGTTTCTCTGTGCCTTGGCTGTCCTGGAAATCACTCTGTAGACCAGGCTGACCTCAAACTCACAGAGGCCTGCTTCTGCCTCCCTAGTGCTGGGATTAAAGGGTCTCATCATAATTTCAGCTGGCTGCAGATTTACTTTGAAGACCAGGAGGCTGGCCTGCAACTCACAATCCAATGTAGTCCTCTTGCCTGGAGAAACTATTCTTAATGATCATAAGAGTCTTCCTTAAAGTTAGCCTCAGTAGACAATAGTTGGGCAAGTGTTTAATTGTTGAAATCAAGAAATAAAATGATGAAAAATTTAAAATGGCATATGCATAATTTTCTTTTAAAGCTTTATTTTTGTGTTCATATGCATAGGTATTTTGCCTACATGTGAGTCTATGTACTGCTTTCATGCATAGTGTCCATGGAGGCTAGAAGAGGGTAATGGTTCCCCTGGAACTAGAGATAGCTGTGAGATGCAATGTGGGTGCTGGGAATCAAACCCAGGTCTTTGGAAAGAGCAGTGAATAGTTACAGCAGTACTTGTAACTGCTGAGCCATTTCTCCAGCCCACATAATTTTCTTTTTGGTGTTTTTCAGCCTGTTTTTTTCCATCCTTGTCTGAGACCAGGCCTATCAAAATATACGCTGTATTCTAGTGTCAGTTATTACTGTTTGGTGAGCCTTTGGCGTGGGTGATGGGTGTGTGTGTATATATATATCAAAAAGGGTTGGATCTCTAGGATTTCCTGGGAAAACATTTATGTAATAGGCTTATTTGTGGGTGTGAGAGTATATGTGTATGGTATATATGTACATGTATATGTCGCGGTCAGAGAAGGATGTGGAGTGTCCAATTCCGTATTCCATGAATATTCCCCTGAGACAATTTCTCACTGAACCTGGAACTAGGCTGGTGGTCAGTAAGCTGCAGCAATCCTGTCTCCATCTCCTATATTGCTAGAGTGATTAGTGTTCATAAGACCACATCTAGCTTTTTCTGTGAGTTCTGGGCATTTGAACTCAGGGCCTCTTGCCTGCACAGCAAGCTTTCTTACCCATGGCACCATCTCCCTGCTTTGAAGCTTTGGATTTTGACTCTGTCACTGCATGGTGTTTTTCTTTGCTAATGAATATAGATTTCTCTACCTCTTCCCAGATGCTCTCTGCTATGATGTGTGGGTGTGGGTGGGTGGGGGTACAGGAATGCTGAATTTCATATCATCTGAAAATGATTGCTGACACATGCAGTCTAACAAAGGTATGTGGGGTTTTTGTTTGTTTGTTTGTTTTTTTCTGAGAAAGGTCAAAAGAACTTAGTGCCAGGAAGTCTTGCCCAGTCATTACTTGTCTTGCTACTCTAGTCACCACATTTCTTTCTTTGTAAAAAAGATACATTACTTGCTAAGGTGTGCAAGAGCTTATAATATATCAGGTAGAAACAGCAGATCATTAACTGCCAAGTAATTCTGCCCTGGGCAGTTGGTTAAGCAGCAGGAGGAAATAAGCCAATTAGAAGTGGTGCCCAGTGAGGCTAAGTTGAAAGCTATGTAGATAATAAGAGCTAGTATAAGAAAACAGGGTTTATGACTACCAGGTCATCCACACAGGCCATTTATTAAAGGGTTGTTGGGGAGGAAGGGAACTGGAGTCAGAAAGTGCCTCAGGGAGTTGGGTGGAAGCAAATGAAAAGTCAGGATACATGAAGCCTTATACATGGAGCCACCTAGGTATGAAGGTGTGAGGGTTTTCAGGCCTGTGGCAGTCCCAAGGCTGCTTTGCCTCAGAGTGCCTGGGCTGGTTAGATGACTTGGAGGAGAAATCTCTTTCCCAGTGTGACTCTTGATACTGTACGTAACTGATGTGCTCTGGGTATTTCCACATCCTGGATTTTTCCATTACATTTTTGTTAATTTTTGACCCTGACGATATGAAGCTGTAGAATGGAGATACAGTCAGTGAGTGTTAAAAAAAAGGTAATAGCTCTATATGAGGTAGAGGGAGTCTGTTTCAAAAAGTGTAGAAGTGAAGCAGGCAGGCCTGGCTTTATACTCTTGACACAGACTCCATTTTGTCTGAGTCTAAAAGCATTATAAATGTTTGTCTTTGTGTAGACAGGGACTGGGGAAACTATGGAAAGATT